ATTTTAGACAATGTCCTGGGTACTGCTGACAAGAATGTGTATTCTGATGTTGTAGGTTGGAACACTCTGTAAGGGTCTAGTAAGTCCATTTGTTTACAACTTTCATTTAGTTCTGTTTTTTTTTTTTTGCTTGTTTTTGGTCTAGTTGATCTATCTCTTGGTGACAATGGGGTTTTAAAGTCCCCTTTACAATTGTGTTATTGCTTATTTGATTTTTCACATCTGTTAAAATTTGTCTTATATAGATAGGTGTTCTTTATTTGGTCTATAGACATTTATGATTATTATCTGTTCCTTGTACAGTTTTCCCCTAACAAGTATATAGTGACCTCTTTATCTCTTTTGATCATTCTTGGTTTGAAGTTCACATTGTCTGCAAACAGAATTGCTATCTCTGATTTTTTCCTGGTTCCTGTTGCATGCAGTATTGTTCTCCATCTTTTGACTTTCAGTCTCTGAATTTCCTGTTGAGTTAAATGTGTTTCTTGTACAGAGCATATTGTTGGATTTTGTTTCTTGATCTAATCTACCAGTCTGTTTCTTTTGATTGGTGAATTGAGGACATTTACATTAATGGTTATAACTGATCTGTATTGGCTTATATTTATCATATTATTTTCCTGCTGTTGGTTCCCTAATTTTTCCCTCCACTTAATTGCTTCCTGTACTTGTTTGTTTCTATTATTGTTTTTGAAATTGTGGTCATTTTTATATCTTTCTAGAATATTTCTTAGTACTCTTTGGAGGGTTGGTTTGGTGTTTATGGATTTCATTATTTGTTGTTTGTTGTTGAAGTATTTTATTTCTCTATTAATTTTAAAGGATAGCTTTTCAGGGCACATCAATCTGGATGTTGTTTTCTTTCAGGACCTGAAATACTTCAGTGCAACTTCTTTGTGACTTGAGGTTTTGTGTTGAGAAGACTGCCGTGATTCTGATGGGCTTTCTTTAATAGGTGGTCTGTTTCTTTTCTCTAGCAGATTTAATATTCTGTTTTTTTGCTAAATTTTTGGGATGTTGATTATTATGTCTGGGTGTAGATTTATTTTTGTTGTGACTAATTGGAGTTCTATATGCCTGATTTACTATCAGATTCTTTTTCCATGCTTGGTAAATTTTTTGCTATTACTTCTGCAAATAATGTCTTTATGTCATTTGTGATACCTCCTGTTGTTTTGTTGACAACTGTTAGTCTTATATTTTTCTTTGCATCATCTTGCAGCTACTAAAGTGTTATGTCCTGGTTCCATGTTATTTTAGAGATCTTTATTTTCATGATTGTTAGCTGCAGTGGTCTGAAAGACCTTCACTAAGGTCTGAAAGTCTATCTTCAGCTTTGTTCAAGCAATTTTTTCAGCATTTGATAGAATTTTTAATTTCCTGGATATCTGTTTGAATCTGTTTCATGCAATCTAGTTCTTTCCTATGTTGTTCATTCAAGATTTCCATCATTTTTCTATGCTCTATTTTCTCATCTATGCCTTCTTTAGATGTGCTAAGCAAGTCTTTCATTATTGTTGTCATATCTTTTTTTACCTGAGAGTTTATTTCTGATCTGATGTCTTCTATGGCCTGATGGAGTTTTTTCTTTACTTCAGTTGCTATCGTTTCAGCAATTTCAGGTGTATGACTTATAAGCTCTTCTGTGTCAATGTCTCCTGGACTTGTTCTGTGTGGTGTGGTGATCTGAGATTGCATTTTGCTTCTTCATTTTGTCATTTTTGAAGATTTGGATGTTCCCTGAGGCTGAGCCTCATTCCCAGTATGGTGTGGGAGTAACAGGACAAGGATGCTAAGGTCCCCAATGTTTATCTTGGCTTCCATGATGGTGTGTGCGGGTGGGGTACAGTCACCAATGCTCCCAAATCTTTCCAGAGTTCTGTTGTCTCCCACATTGGTGTGGGAGGGGATGATATGTAGTCACCGAGGCCTTGGAAGCTGTCTGGGCTCAGCTTCACTCCCTCAAAGGGTTCCCAAAGCTGTCCAGTGTTCAGCCCCACTCCCGTGAGGGTGCAGGTGTGGGCAGGTTGTGGTCACCAAAGCTCCCAATGCTGTGTGGGGTTGGGCCCAGCTTCCACAACGGTGTAGGGGGGGTCATGTTCAATGAGGCTCCAGATGCTGCTGAGACCCAGCCTGATTCCCACATTGGTGGGGGAGGGGTGAGGGCACAGTTACCAAGGCTCCTGGAGCTGTCTGGGGTATAGCTCAGCTCCTGCAAGGGTGCAGAGGAGGGGTGGGGAGTGGCCAACGAGGCCTCTGAAGCTGTCTGGGGCTCTGTCTGGCTCACATTCTGGTAGAGGAAGCAGTTCACGGACATTCTTATAGCTGTCTGGGGTTCCCCGGCTCCTCTATTTCCTTATCTACATCTTCTTCAAATATATTGAGCAATTCTTTCATTATGTTTGTCTTTTTTTTTAACCTGAGAGGTTATTTCTAATCTGATTTTATTTTAGTACCAGCAATTGGACTCAGGACCTTGCACTTGCCAGGCAGGTGCTTGTGCTGGTGTGCTATATTTCTGACCCTCTGATTTGTTGTATAGCCTGATAGCATTGTTTCTTTAGTTCATTTGCTACCATTTCAGGTGTTTGACTTCCAAGTTCTTCTACTTTGATCTCTCCTGGACTTGTTAGGGGGTGGGCTGGAGGTCTGAGATTGCATTTTACTCCTTTGTTTTGACATTTTCTATTTTACATTTTTAAATTTCATTTTTTGTGGTGATCCTTGTGAGTTTTGGTAGTAGCTAGCTTTATTACTCATATCAAGGACCCTCCAGGAATAGACTGTATTGCAAGGATATCTTTTGTGTGTAGGGGATATTTGGTTTGTGTCTGTCCCAAGAGCCTACCTTTCCAATTAATTATGAATGGGATGTTGGTTTCTGTTTGGCTCGGTCCCATCCTTTCATGTAGGACTTTGGTAAGATTATACCAGAGCTTCTCAATATAGTTACACAAGGGAGAACAACTGATGACAACAGATATGACACCCTAGCTACAGTAGTATAATTAGCAATCAGCACAATTTTGAAACTGACCAACTGTGCTAAGTATTGATTTCAAACATTAGACCATAGGAGAAAAGCCTATAGTTATACAACAGAACCAACCATAAATGATGAGTTTGTATGCAAAGCATTTTTCCTTGTTAGAGTGGATTTATCATGGGTTCCTCTGGACAAGCCAGTTGCTGCATCCCAGGCACTTTTCTTTTTTTTCTTTTAAAGAGTAAAAGAAGGATAACATAATAATAGGAGGGGCTTACCAAATTACAGACAAAGTGGTAAGAAATTATCAATGGTTATTGTTTTACATATTGTTATCTATAAGATAGTTTCTCAG